AGCCACCATGCCTGGACTTTTTCTGAATATTTTCAATCCAAGTTTGGTTGAATCCACAGATGTGGAACCCATGGATACTGTATGTTAAAAAATGAGAACGTCTTCATGCTTTGGAAATACCTTATGTTTATCATAATTTCATTCAACCTGTAAAAACAACAAAATAGCAATTTGAACAGACTAAAAATTAGCTAAAAATGAATACCATTTTTAACAAGTAAGATACAAGTAAATAGTGTTTGAAGCTAAAGTTTCTCTTAATTTGATGGTAAGATTACCAGGTATTCTCTTTTTAAATTAATTTTTTCTTTTTTAAACAGCTTTTAATCTTTTTTTTTTTTTTAGACAGAGTCTCACTCTGTTGCCAGGCTTGAGTGCAGTGGCACGATCTTGACTCACTGTAACCTCTGCCTCTCAGGTTCAAGTGATTTGCCTGCCTCAGCCTCTTGAGTAGCCGGGACTACAGGTGCGTGCTGCCATGTCCAGCGAATTTTTGTATTTTTAGTAGAGACAGGGTTTTTCACCATGTTGGCCAGGATGATCTCAATCTCTTGACCTCGTGATCCGCCCGCCTCGGCCTCCCAAAGTGTTGGGATTACAGGCCTGAGCCACCACGCCCGGCATAATCTTCTTTTAAACTTAATAAAACTGCAGGTTTTCTAAATCAGAAAACCTTCAACAAAATAGATCATTACACTACAATGTTTTTACTCCATAAAGAATTTTCTTTCCTGGCTTCCATTTTTTGATGGAAGACTTGATAAAGACTTTTTTTTGAAACCTGGCACACTTACTTGCATAGTTGCAAACAAACTACTTTTAAGGCACAAGAAAAAGATATTATTTTGAATTTAAAAGTCAGGTATTTAAATCTGTAATATTAATGTATTCTATTTTAATGTTAAAAAAATTTAAGGAGTCACTCTCACTTTAAACTTTCTGAATGTGTACCTTATGCCTTACTTTAGGTGTAAGGTTAAAGTGAGAGTGACTCTTAAATTTTTTTTTTTTTTTTTGAGACACAGTCTTGCTCTGTTGCCAGGCTGGAGTACAGTAGTACAATCTTGGCTCACTGCAACCTCTGCCTCCTAGGTTCAAGAGATTCTCCTGCCTCAGCTTCCCGAGCAGCTGGGACTACAGGCACACCTGGCTAATTTTTATTTGTATTTTTAGTAGAGACAAAGTTTCACCATGTTAGCCAGGATGGTCTCAATCTCCTGACCTTGCAATCTACCTGCCTTGGCCTCCCAAACTGCTGAGATTACAGACATGAGCCACTGCACCTGGCCCTAAATTTTAATGTGTACATTTTGTAATTCACTCTTACTTTAAACTTTCTCAATGTGTACCTTACGCCTAGGTAAAAAATTAAAAATATATACAAGGTATGTGTCCCTGACAAACAAATACTTTATTCTAAATGAGTTATTCTATCCTTTGAGGATGAAGATCCCATGTTAAGGTTCAAATATTACTTTGCAGATGTCCACAATAGCATTGTACTTTTAGATCCACTAACTGAGAAAATACAATATGAAAAAAAAGTTGGTATGAACACAGGAGCACAAAACCAAACAAACAAACAAAAAAACACTACTTAAATAAATCAGGAAATATTTTTCTTATGTAATCATAAGCAGTTCAGGGCTGGCATTGTGGCTTTCCAAACATCAGGGACCCAGGATCTTCTGATCTTATCTCTCTGCCATCCTCAAGATGCCACATCTACCTCATGACCTAAGATGACTGCTTTAGCTCCAGCATCACAACTTTATTCCAGCCAGCAGAAAAGAAGAGCTCATTCTTTCCTTCTACACTTACATAAGTATAAAAGTTAGAATAACCCAGCTTCTAACTGTGGCTCAACTAATTAGTAGCTCTGTGACCTAAGGGTCCATTATTTGATCTCTATAAACATCAGCTTTTCAGAGAAGTAGGACACAACACTTCTGCTTACATCGTATTGGCCAGGATTTGGTTCTGTGATCACATTTGGCTGCAAGGGAAGCTAGAAAATGTAGTCTTTATTCAGGATAGCAATGTGTCTAATATCTTACGGAAAAGGAAAGAATGAAGTTTGGGGAGCCACAGGTCCCTGACACATTTTTCCTTAGTACTTTATTAATGAGGACAATATTTTCACACTTTTGAAAAAACGGGTAAACATGTGCAAGACATGTTAATTATTTAATCTATAGACAATACTTGGCTGAGCATGTCAATTTGAGAATCTGGTTGTAAAGTGGTCTCAGCTAAAAGCTGCTCAGAGCTCACAGGCAAGCTGGATGATGTTAGGTTGGAAAGGCTTCATGGAAGAGATTAGCTGGACCTTGAAGAATGTGCAAGATTGTGAAATCGATGGGGATGGGCAACTGAGACAAAATTTGACAGCAAAGGCAGGGAGACAAGTGGGGCATAGTTTGGCTGGGGCAGAAGGCATGTGGATGTACTTCAGAAATCAAATTAAAAACAGTAAGAATGTTGTCTTTATCACAGAGAAAAGTATTGGGAGGTAAGGTTAAAGAAGGCTGAACAGTTATAGAAAAGGTTTTGAAGGCTAAAGCAAAGCATTTGACATTTTGGCTTTACCAGTTATGGGATATGTGGCCTCAGGCCCAGTTAGTTCACCACTGTGAACTTCAACCTCCTCTTCTGTGAAATGCCGGCAATGATAACCACCTAGTAGGGTTGTTTTGAGGCTAAATACTAGTTATTAATAAAAGCTCTGAGTAAGCACGTAACATGGTAATGTTTTAAAAAATTAATAGCAATCTGACAGCCAGGGTAAGAGTGATGGGAGAAGGAAAAATCTAAAGGTAGAGCAAAGCAACAGGAAGTAATCTAATGCAACTGATGCTTAGGAGCTTGAATTTTATGCTTTAGACAAAGAAAAATTGGAGTTGGCAGGAGGAATATTGTAGGCAATGCTATCAGTTAGGATTACTACCAAACTTCCAGGCCCAGGGTGGGGCCTTGAAAAGAGACAGTAGCTGGGTGGATGGAAAAAAAATCTGGCTATGAAGGGAGCTTGGTGAATGATTGCAGGCAGAGGATGAAGAAAAGGGAAGAAAGGCTTTGATACGAGTGACTGAATGGCCTGTAGCACCATGAACCAAAATAAGAAGTGGAGGAAAAACAGAATGGGGTTGGGGGCCCTGGGGAGAAAAGTTCCATTTAGACTGTTGACATGGACATTCAGATGATGAAGGGGCCCAATAACCTACTGGATATATAGAGCTGGCATTAAAAGTGGTGTCTGGATGGGAGGTGTAGAGACGTGGAAGTCCCACCAAGCAGGGGTAGCTGAAGCTATAGGAGGAGAAGAGGAGCTCATCCAGGAAAAGCCCACAGAACAGAATCCTGAAGAAGGTCATTACTTTCATGAGAAAAGAAAAGAGAAGCCAGAAGGGGGAATAATAAGATGAGAGAACTCAGAGGCAGCAAAATCAAACCAAGAGAGACAGTGCCTAATAGAGTGTTCAAGCTATTAGGAGTTCAAGGATGAGGCCAATGCCTAAAATGGTTAGTGACGTGCTCAAATGTTAAGTGGCCTGTTGTTGAGCGTTCTTCAGCAGCAAGGGAAAAGATTTGCTGGCTTCAGAAATGCTCACCATCTGCTGGAGCTAAGAGCAGTTCAGAAGGGCCTGGAGCAGCTTATAGAAATTTCCCATTAAAAGCAGAGTCCTGGCCTGGGCACCGTGGCTGAGGCCTGTAATCTCTGCACTTTGGGAGGCCAACGTGGGTGGATCACCTGAGCCCAGGAATTCCAGACCGGCCTGGGCAACATGGTGAAACTCTGTCTCTACAAAAAATATATAAATTAGCCAGATGTGGTAGCAAGTGCCTATAGTGCCAGTGACTCGAATAGCTGAGCTGGCAAGATCACCTGAGTCCAGGAAGGTCAGAGCTGCCGTGAGCTGTAATGGGGCCACTGCACTCCAGTCCGGGTGACAGAGTGAGACCCTGTCTCAAAATGTATATGTGTGTGTGTGTCTGTGTGTATTTTAAGCAGAGCTCTGCCAACATGGCCAGAAGATGGGAGGAATTTCTGACTTGTTCTGTGTACCTCTACCTTTGGTGGCTGTGTGTGTGTATGTGTGTATGTATGTATGTGTGTGTGTGTCTGTCTCTTCCAGCAATGGACCAGAGCTCTGGAAAGGTGAATGTGAAAGCCGCCAGCACCCACAGCCTTAGCCTTTTCTTCTCTCTTAGTCCCTGCTAGACTGGGAACTTCTTCAGACTTAAGCTCAGCATCTAGGACCACACTATGACTGTACAATCACTCATGTTTGTTGATTGAAAGCCAAAAGCAAATAAGATAATCAGCCAACAATAAGATAATCAGCACTTCCAGAAATAAGTGCTGGACGACATAAATAAATAACAGAGAGAAGTGGTTAGAGCTCTTGGAATCAGACTCAGTCTTTGGTAGGAATTAGGCTCTGACACCACCTATTTGCCGGTGTAACCTCAGGCAAGTTCCTTAAACACTGTATATGACGGGAATTACAATGGAACCCACCCTAAATGTAGCACTCACCTAAATGACAACGTACAGGGTAGACTTAGCAAAGTACTTTTATTACTCAACCTCTCTAGAAGTCTGAACTGAGAATATTTAGTACATTTTTAAAGGAATTATAAATTGATCACTCTTTATCCATCAGTGCCAACTACTTATGCTTACTGCAACCAGGAACTGCACAGCACATCACAAAAAAGCCATGGAGAGAAAACTTTCCTCTCATGGGGTCATTTAAGAGTTTAGAGAAATTAACTGAGGCCATTTATGCGAAAGAACTTTAATGATAAACAGCATCCATCATACAATGTGCCTGATAGAGAATTTAAAAAGATCTTACACAGTTATTGCCATCGTTACTAAATCAAAACTCTGGCAAAAAGGAGGAAAGGAAACACATAGCTTTCTTCTATGATCTAAATATTTTCTATTTTTTTAAAGGTCAAAGAAAAAAATAGCCCCTTGACATTATACTTACAAATTCTTCTTCTGTAATAGTTGGTGGCTCTGAAACAAGACAAAATATTACATTATCTCCCTCAAATCTGATTTCCTTTGAGTAAATGAAATAATGTGAGACAGCACCTAGCTCTACGGTATACATGGGCAAGCTCCTTAAATTTCTGGCTTTCGGTTCATTCTCTGCACATGGCTTGCATTTTAAGTTGGAATTCACGGTGGAAGTGGGAAGGAAAGGCCTCTGGAATCCTGCCTGGTCACTAATTCACTGTGACCCAGGAGTTACCCTTCACAGACGGAAGTCTCTATTGTTCTACGTACAAAATGCAGAATTAAGCGAGATAACGCGGCGCCAGCGTAAACAGGGAGGACGTGAAATTCCTCATAAAAGCAATGGGAAGGCAGTGAAGCCAGTTTTTCTCACGTTTGGGAGTGGGGCGCCCGGGCAGGAGGTGAAGTCCACAGGCGGGGGCGTGGTGCGGCCCGGACGCCGCGGGTGGGTCCTCCGTCCCTGTGGGGCCGCCACCTACCCGCGGTGAGCCTCTTCTCGGGCATGCCGTCGCCGCTGCCCGCGCCCAGAGCTCTCGCGGGCCGTCAGAGCCCCAGAGCTCGGGCCCAGCGCGGTCAGGGCCGGTCTCTCCCCGGAAGCAAGCGGCGGCTGCGCCGGCGGCGTGCGGACCCCGGAGCCGCGCCGACTCTTGTGGCCCACGCCGTGCCCGGGTTGCTATGGAGCTTAGACAATGCGGCCGCCCCAGGAGGCCGAGGCCCGGCCAACAGGGGCCTTTCGGAGTTCAGAGCCGCTACTGAAACACCCCAGCCGCCCCCTGCCCTCCTTTCCTCCTCCTCTTGGGCAGGGGCCGGCACTGGGAAGAGCTGGGGGCGGACGCGCGTCCCGACCCCCGGTGCGGTCACTGGGAGGGGCGCCCTGGAGACGCCTGTGGCCCTTGAGAACCGCCTGGCCGCGAATTCGTTACTGTGGTGACCGTGGCTCAAGCCCGTTCTTCTTCCACCACAGCCCACTAACACCTGAGAGGGAAACGCGTTGCTTCACGGGAGGGAGAGGTCGCGGGCACGCGGGGCACGAGGCAGCCAGGGCGGCATGTCCGGAGAAGCGGAGGAAGCAGGGAAGAGTCGGGCCTTTCTTGGGTTTTCCCCATTCTTCAGGAGGCCCACGACACACAGCTCTTGATCTCCATCACAGTTGTATGAAATGCTTGTGTAAAAAGTTAAAATATTTGCGGCCTACAGGAACCCCGAACTTCCCCAATACACGTGTGTGCCAGTTGGTTAGGACTGCTGCATTTTCAAGATAGCTAGGCTTTAAAATTACCTGAGGGGCCCTCACGTCCACCTAATGTGGTACCTCCGTCTGTTAGGTTACTCAAGCCAGAAACTTGGGAGCTTTTCCCTAAAACTCACTGCCCACCCCCAACTCTCTTCAGTTGAACACTGGGTCCTGCTAATTCTCCCTTAGTGTTTCTGAAATCTGGGGTCTCCTCTTCTGCTAGTAACAGCCTTAGTACAGGCTCCATCTGAACTGCTGTAAAAACTTCCTAACTCGCCTTTCAGTCTTTGCTTCCAGTAGAGTTCAGCTTAAGCCCATTCTCCATGATGAATTCAAAATCATCCATCTCAATGCAAATTTGACCTGCTTAAAAACCTTAGGTGGCTTCACATTTGCCTCCTACATTGTGGGAACACTCCAAGGCCCGCATGGGCCCCACAGGTATATGAATGCTTAAGAAAAGAAGGAATAAGACAATGGGTGCTTGTATTGTAAGGAACCATAACACCCATCTAGTTATATTCACTGCCTTTTCCCTATTACATAGGAAAAGACAAAATAAACCACCAACTTGGCCAGACAAAATTAGAGGACCAAATGAAGTGATGGGCTACTGACAGAAGACAATGGAGAGCTAGGTGGGGATGGGGGTGGCAAATCACAAAGAGCTTTGTGAGCCCTTGGTAAAGACTCCAGCTTTCATTTGAGGGAAATGCAAACCATAGCAGAGTTTGAACAGAGAAATTACATAACTTTACTTCTATTTGAAAGAATCACTCTGGGTGCTGTCTAGAGAATATATTAATAGTTTGCATGACTGGAAGTGTGCAAGAGCTAATGGTAGCTCAGACCAGAGTGGTTCAGACCAAGCAGTACAGATTTGAGATAGACTCAAGTTCTGCAGACATTTTAACAGTAGAGCCAAGAGGATTTCCTGACAAGCTGGACATGGGAATGAAACAAAGTAGTTGAGAATGACTTCAGTTTTGGTCTGAACAGCCAGAAAAGTTTAGTTGCCATCAACAGAGTTGGGGAAAGCTGTGAGTGGACCACATTGAAAGGAAGAGTTTAAGAAGTCTATTAGCCAGAACCAAGCTGAAAAACATACTTCAGGATATCATCCAGGAGAACATTTTCAACCTAGCAAGACAGGCCAACATGCAAATTAAGGAAATGCAGAGAACCCCAGGAAGATACTGCATAAGAAGATCAATCAACCCGAGACACATAATCATTAGATTCTCCAAGATCAAAATGGAAGAAAAAATGTTAAGGGCAGCCAGAGAGAAAGGCCTGCAAAGGGAAGCTCATCAGACTATCAAGCAGCCTTCTCAGTAGAAACTTTACAAGTCAGAAGAAATTTGGGGCCAATAGTCAGCATTTTCAAAGAAAAGAATTTCTAACCCAGAATTTCATATCCAGCCAAAATAAGCTTCATAAGTGAAGGAGAAATAAGATCTTCTTCACACAAGCAAATGCTGAGGGAATTTGTCACTACCAAATCTGTCCTGCAAGAGCTCCTGAAGGAAGCACTAAATATGGAAAGGAAAAGCCATTACGAGCCAGCAAACAAACAAACAAAAACCACTGAAATACACAGACCAGTGACTCTGTGAAGCAACCACATAAACAAGTCTGCAAAATAACCAACTACTGTTATGAAGACAAGATCAAATCCACAATAACAATAATAACCTTAAATGTAAATGACTAAATGCAATGCCCCAATTAAAGAGACAGAATGGCAAGCTGGATAAAGAACCAAGACCCATCAGCAAGATGTCTTCAAGAAACCCTTCTCACATACAAAGACACTCATAGGCTCAAATAAAGGGATGTAGTAAAATTTACCAAGCAAATTGAAAACAGAAAAAAGCATGGGTGCAATTCTAGTTTCTTACAATAAGGACTTTAAACCAACAAAGATTAAAAAAGACAAAGAAGGGCTTTACATAATGGTAAAGGGTTTAATTAAACAAGAAGAGCTAACTATGTGTGATGGTTAATACTGAGTACAATTTGATTGGATTGAAGGGTACAAAGTATTGATACTGGGTGTGTCTGTGAGGGTGCTGTCAAAAGAGATTAACATTTGAGTCAGTGGGTTGGGGAAGGCAGATCCACTCTTAATCTGGTGGGCATATATTTATCAACTGCCAGCAAATATAAAGCAGACAGGAAAATGTGAAAAGGAAAGACTGGTCTAGCCTCCCAGCCTATATCTTTCTCCCTTGCTGGATGGTTCCTGCCCTCGAACATCAGACTCCAAGTTCTTCAGTTTTGGGACTCAGACTGGCTCTCCTTGCTCCTCAGCGTGCAGACAGCCTATTGTGGGACTCTGTGACCGTGTAAGTTAATACTTAATAAGTTCCCGTATATATATGTATATATCCTATTAATACTTAATAAAGTTAATACTTAAACTCCATATGTATATATATAATGTGTATGTATATATATCCATCCTATTATTTCTGTCCCTCTAGAGAACCTAATACACTATCCTAAATATATATGCGCCCAATACAGGAGCACCCAGATCATAAAGCAAGTTTTAGAGACCCCCGATGAAACTTAAACTCCCATATAATAATAGTGGGAGACTTTAACACACCCTAATGACAATATTAGATCATTGAGTTAGAAAATTAACAACATTCAGGACCCGAACTTAGCTCTGGATCAAGTGGGCCTGACAGATGTCTATGGAACTCTTCACCCCAAAACAAATGAATATACATTCTTCCCACTGCCACACAGTACTTACTCTAAATTTGAGCACATAATCAGAAGTAGAACACTCCTCAGAAAATGCAAAATAATTGAAATCATAACAGTCTCTCAGACAACTGGGTAATCAAATTAGAACTCAAGACATTTACTCAAAACCACACAACTACATGGGAATTGAACAGCCTGCTCTTAAATAACTCTTGAGTAAATAACTAAATTAAGGCAGAAATCAAAAAGTTCTTTGAAACTAATCCAAAGATACAACATACAAGAATCTCTGGGACACAGCTAAAGCAGTGTTAAGAGGGAAATGTATAGCACTAAATGCCCACATCAAAAAGCTAGAAAGATCTCAAGTTAACAACCTAACATCACAACTAAAAGAACAAGAGAACCAAGAGCAAACAAACCCCAAAGCTAGCAGAAGACAAGAAATAACCAAGATCGGAGCTGAACTGAAGGAGACAGAGACATGAAGAACCCTTCAAAAAAAATCACTGAACCCAGGAGCTGGGTATTTTTTTTTTTTAAGTAATAGATAGACCACTAGCTAGACTAATACAGAAGAAAAGAGAGAAGATTCAAATAAATACAATCAGAAATGTTAAGGGGGATATCACCACTGACTCCACAGAAATACAAACCACTATCAGAAAAGCCCATAAACACCTCTATGTACATAAACTATTAAATTCAAAAGAAATGGATAACTCCCTAGACACATATACCCTCCCAAGACTGAACCAGGAATAAACTGAACTCTTGAATAGACCAACAGTGAGTTCTGAAATTGAGACAGTAATAAATAGCCTAAAAACAACAACAACAAAAATGCCCAGGACCAAACAGATTCACGGCTGAATTCCACTCAGAGGTACAAAGAATAGCTGGTACCATTTCTACTCATACTATTCCAAATAGTTGAAAAGGAGGGACTCCTCCATAACTTGTTCTATGAGGCCAGCATCATCCTGAAACCAAAACCTGGCAGAGATACAACAAAAAAAAGGAAACTTCAGGCTAATATCCTTGTGAACATCAATGCAAAAATTCTCAATAAAATACTGGCAAACCAAATCCAGCAGTATATCAAAAAGCTTATCCACCACAATCAAGTAGGCTTCATCCCTGGGGTGCAAGGTTGGTTCAACATACACAAATCAATATATGTGATTCATCAGACAAACAGAACTAAAAACAAAAAATTACATAATTATCTCAATAGATGTGGAAAAGGCCTTCAGTAAAATTCAACATCCCTTCATGTTAAAAGCTCTTAATAAACTAGGTATTGAATGAACATATCACAAAATAATAAGAGCCATATATGACAAACCCACAGCCAATATTATATTGAATGGGCAGAAGCTAGAAGCATCCCCCTTGAAAACCAGCACAAGGATGCCCTCTCTTGCTACTCCTATTCAACACAGTATTGGAAGTTCTGGCCAGAGCAATCAGGAAAGAGACAGGAATAAAGAGTATTCAAAGAGGAAGAGA